AATGTCATAAATGAAGCAAACACATATAAAATTACACCATGTAATGTCATAAATGAAGCAACACATATAGACTTACACACATGTAATGTCATAAATGAAGCAACACATATAGAATTACACATGTAATGTCATAATGAAGCAACACTTATAGAATTACACATGTAATGTCATAATGAAGCCACACATATAGACTCACACATGTAATGTCATAATGAAGCAACACATATAGAATTACACATGTAATGTCATAATGAAGCAACACATATAAAATTACACATGTAATGTAATAAATGAAGCAACACATATAGACTTACACATGTAATGTCATAAATGAAGCAACACATATAGACTTACACATGTAATGTCATAAATGAAGCAACACATATAGAATTACACATGTAATGTCATAATGAAGCAACACTTATAGAATTACACATGTAATGTCATAATGAAGCCACACATATAGACTCACACATGTAATGTCATAATGAAGCAACACATATAGAATTACACATGTAATGTCATAATGAAAGCAACACATATAGACTCACACATGTAATGTCATAATGAAGCAACACATATAGACTCACACATGTAATGTCATAATGAAGCAACACACATAGACTCACACATGTAATGTCATAATGAAGCAACACATATAGACTCACACATGTAATGTTATAATGAAGAAGCAACACATTATAGAATTACACATGTAATGTCATAATGAAGCAACACTTATAGAATTACACATGTAATGTTATAATGAAGAAGCAACACATATAGAATCACACATGTAATGTCATAATGAAGAAGCAACACATATAGAATTACACATGTAATGTCATAATGAAGCAACACATATAGACTCACACATGTAATGTCATAATGAAGCAACACATATAGACTCACACATGTAATGTCATAATGAAGCAACACATATAGAATTACACATGTAATGTCATAATGAAGCAACACATATAGACTCACACATGTAATGTCATAATGAAGCCACACATATAGACTCACACATGTAATGTCATAATGAAGCAACACATATAGAATTACACATGTAATGTCATAATGAAGCAACACATATAGACTCACACATGTAATGTCATAATGAAGCAACACATATAGACTCACACATGTAATGTCATAATGAAGCAACACACATAGACTCACACATGTAATGTCATAATGAAGCAACACATATAGACTCACACATGTAATGTTATAATGAAGAAGCAACACATATAGAATTACACATGTAATGTCATAATGAAGCAACACTTATAGAATTACACATGTAATGTTATAATGAAGAAGCAACACATATAGAATCACACATGTAATGTCATAATGAAGAAGCAACACATATAGAATTACACATGTAATGTCATAATGAAGCAACACATATAGACTCACACATGTAATGTCATAATGAAGCAACACATATAGACTCACACATGTAATGTCATAATGAAACAACACATATAGAATTACACATGTAATGTCATAATGAAGCAACACATATAGACTCACACATGTAATGTCATAATGAAGTAAACACATATAGAAATTACACATGTAATGTTCATAATGAAGCAACACATATAGAATCACACATGTAATGTCATAATGAGGCAACACATATAGAATTACACATGTAATGTCATAATGAAGCAACACATTTAGAATTACACATGTAATGTAATAATGAAGCCACACATATAGAATTACACATGTAATGTAATAATGAAGCCACACATACAGAATTACACATGTAATGTCATAAATGAAGCAACACATACAGAATTACACATGTAATGTCATAAATGAAGCAACACATTTAGAATTACACATGTAATGTAATAATGAAGCCACTAAAATAGAATTACATATGTAATGTAATAATGAAGTCACACATACAGAATTACACATGTAATGTAATAATGAAGCCACACATACAGAATTACACATGTAATGTCATAAATGAAGCAACACATTTAGAATTACACATGTAAATTTGTCATAAATGAAGCAACGCATATAGAATTACACATGTAATGTAATAATGAAGCCACTAATATAGAATTACATATGTAATGTCATAAATGAAGCAACACATATAGAATTACACATGTAATGTAATAATGAAGCAACACATTTAGAATTACACATGTAATGTAAAAATGAAGCAACACATATAGACTCACACATGTAATGTCATAATGAAGCAACACATATAGACTCACACATGTAATGTCATAATGAAGCAACACATATAGACTCACACATGTAATGTAATAATGAAGCAACACATTTAGAATTACACATGTAATGTAAAAATGAAGCAACTCATAGAACATTAGCCACACATTTGTAATATATGAAGCCACACAGGTAGAATTACACCTGTAATGTAATGTAATAAATGAAGCTACACATATATAATTTGACTTTATATGTACATAAACTACGATGCACGAGTGTAATAAAGCCATGTAATAATCAAAAGGCTGCAAGCTCTGTGGTATTTACTGATCTTTGCAATCTTAATCGTACTGTATATCTGTATGTGTTTTCCTGTATAAGTTTATTTTTATGTACTATAATTCATCTTGCAGGGCACCAGAGTTTAATACATACGGAATTTTGCAGAACTATAGTTGCATCAAAAAATCATTTATGTTCATTTTTTATGATAGCCACACTTTATCCTTGCATATCGTGGCTATTTCCTTAACAAAGACACTAAAAAAAGAATTTATAAAAAATGTTGACTCGACTGGGATTTGAACTCCAGACTTCTCACACACTAAACGAGCGCGTTACCCCTGCACCACGGAGAAGTTTGAAAATCAATAGCTGAATAAAATCAAGTCATTCTAAATTTAGAATTTCCATTGCATTTCGGGTTGCTGAATAAAATCAAGTCATTCTAAATTTAGAATTTCCATTGCATTTCGGGTTAGGGTAATTTCGAGGTATTTTGTTCAGGGTAAACCTGTTGTTTAAAATTGAAGTAGATAATTTAGCAAAAATCTTCTCGCCCAAACAGTCCAACATGTAGAAACTATATATTCAACTACTCGGCTGTCAGATTTATTTGTGTAGTATTCGGTAATCGACATCGCTAAAAATAGCATTTTCATTGATTAAAATCATATTCATCCGCGTAATTTGTGAGTGTGCATTTATTGACAATTCTATAAGCCAACGCTACTTTTAAAGTTTGAATGTGTAGTAATTTGTTGGACACTTGTAACAAAAAATTGTTCTTTCTTTTCAATTGCTGGTTTTTAAGCAGTTTTGAGTGAGAACTAATTTGCGTTGTTAGGTCTGTTAGGAAATTTTGTGTTAGACCGTGGATGTTAGCTATGTATTTACTGATCTGCGATCAGAAAATACAAAAATGATATTACACTAGTGTAATAACACTTTTACATGACGTTTTTTGCATTATATACAAACATAGCATTAGAGAGCACTAATGTTAGCGTTTAATGACTCTTTTTAACTGTATATCGTTGTTATTTATGATGTTTATGTATTAAGATGATATACTAATGTATAAGTCTAATAAAATGTCTGTTCTGTTCTGTTATTTATGATGTTTATGTATTAAGATGATATACTTATGTATAAGTCTAATAAAATGTCTGTTCTGTTCTGTTCTGTATTATGAATATGTGATAAATAGAATATTATATTTGTGTAGATTCAATTCTAAATTTATTAAACTTGTTGAACAAAGAATATTATGCTTGCCAGAGGCTCGCATAATATGATTTTATTCAACTTGTTTAATAAATTTAGTATTAAACCCACACTCATGCAATATCCTCTATATGTAATGTAATATATGAAGCCACACAGATAGAATATCACATGTAATGTAAAATTAATGACACCCAACAATTGTTTACACATTAACAATGTGAATTGTACAAAATCTGAACTTAAAAAAAAATGGAATTAAGAGTGATTGATCTGATGAAATAATTATATATCTTTATTTTCCTTAAGACTTGTTTGATATCATGTAAATTAAGTATATATTTTTTGGGTAAGATTAAGCTTTATGACTCTGATGAGGAAATAATAAGGTTGCTTTTTGTGTTTATTTATCACAAACTTATGATTTATTGAAACATATTGATGCTATCAAAACATAAAATGTTTGATGCATTGTTGTAGCGTACTTGTTTTGGTGCACTTTTTTTCTTTAACTTGTAAGTTTTCTGTCATTTCATATAAAAATGTCTATCTGATTTAAATTAATTTGCATTTTCTGCCTTTGATGAATATTTTATTTTTGCTTTAACAGAAAATATGTAAAATGTAAATGAAAATTTTGAAAATGTATTAAAAAGTAAGATTTGTGAAGTGAACATATTACAATGTAGTACACATTGCAAACAGCACTTACAATCCAAAGTGGTTAATATATGCAAAAAAAAGCCCTGACATCATTAGTAATGCAGTAGAAATATGGTGAAAAATACTGCAAAATCGGTCATAAATTGCACATTACATGGAAATTAATACTTTTATCTTGAACCTTTGTACTTTTCTTAAAATCTCTGTGAGTACTTTTCAAACATTAGTTTGATTTTCTTGAAATATTTTGGCTCATTTGCAGCCTTAAACAGAATGTAAAATAAAAATATTAAATTGTGGAAATAATTGCTTGGCAAATGGCAATGCTTTCTTATAATAAATGTAAGATAAGAAAAGAAAAGAAAGGTTTATAATATGTGGTATTTTGCTCATAATACTGAAGATACGCATTCTTACTATGTAAGTTTCTCAGCAATTAGTAATTGTAAGTATTTGGTTTTCGTGAAAGTGACTATAAAGAACTTATACAAACCTAGTTAAATGATTATTGTCAAATTTAGTGCAAAAAAACTAATGTCAAAATTAAAAATTCTACTGATACTTGATACAGAAATTTGATTAAGATTTAAAACAATTTCTTCTTTCTTTTCCAGAATAGTTTGGGAAGCAAAATGGATAGAATAAAGCCGGAGAGAGTTCCCCGCCAACCAGTTCATAAGATATGGCGAAATGTAAGATGGGCGGAGTCTTTTGTGGATGACTCATTAACAATTGATGCTGCCGATATAACTGATTCTTTTGCTCTTAGAAAGGTGGCGCTTTTGTTTGAAACAAAGAAATACAATGAATGTGCGTCCCTGATTCGAAGGTTAAACTGTGTAACTTTGAGCAACATTTTACATGAAGTACCACTAGATGTACTGCATGACTCTCTGCCTCAAAGTCTTAACATTCTTGAAGCATTGTATGTTAAATTGTACGAAACAACGGAAAACCCTGCCGATTTTCCAAAAGAGGAGCTTCAAATTGATCAATTTTTACAAAAGCTTGTGGCCCTTTTTGCTAAACAGTCTGGTTTGAATAATAAACATGAAAAGAATTCAAACAGTGTATACCCATCCTGCAGGAGTATTTTGCGTGTAATAACATGGGTGGAGCCAAATATAAGACGGTTTGTTCGCATGAGGAAAAGAGAACTTGATAAGTGCCTAAGACATCTAGGTCGTCATGGGTTGGTGGAATCTTCAGAAAGCACTTTGATGAATTTACATGATGCGTTTAAGATTGAAGTAGAGAAAGTTGTTCACAACTATCGTGCAGCACTACAGAAACTTGAAGAGTTAAATTTGTCAGCAAAACATCCCACGGGTAGCTCAGTGATATGGGGTCCCGCGCCGTCATCATCAAGTCATCATCGTCTGATGCAAATTAGAAGGGATGACGTTCAGGAGCGAATTATCAAAAACCGAACTTTGTTCAACCTGGTGGAACCTGCAATATCAAACCAGTATTTAAAGAAATTCATCCATGTGTTAGAAAAGAGGATAGAATATGATAAAATGGTTCTGTTTCATGACACAGAGTTGAGAAAAATTAGCAAAGTTGACAACACTGACCAGCAATTTTTGTCTGTTAGCTTGAAGGAGTTTTCACAAGGTTTGTTCACATCACAGTATTTTACTTTTAAATACATTTTCAAATCTTTTGTGAAAATTAGCATGGATCTGGAGGCATGCTGCTTTAAATCCATGAAGAAATAAATGACAGAAAAAAAACAAGAAAAAAAAAACCCAGTGCATTGTAGACAAGTTCACTGAATAAAAATTTTCAATAATTTTATGTTGCAGAAGAAAACAAGATGTTTTTATCAACTTTAGACAAATCAGTAAATTATTGATGCCTCTTGTAGACAGTTTCTGTTTCTAAACTTTCTAGATATAAAGCTGTCCAAAAAAACTAGTTTAGCTTCAACAATATCAACATTAAGAAATTTAGTGTATTACAACCTTTTATAGTAATTTATAGCAGTTTAATAGAAATTTGACAATTTCTGACAAACAACTTATTTGTTATCAATATTTGTGACATTATAACACATTAACAATACAAGCATATATCAGTTGATTTATACACAAGGCAAAAAAACTAAATATCTTTAAATACGGGGTATATGATATGTATATATTGTATGAAATCTTCTATCAAGTTTAATCCTTAACCTGCTATATTTCTATAATGGATCTGTCCAGCTTTGAATTTCAAACAGTCCATTCAAAGTGCAAGGGATTTCAATATCAAAATACAAAAATTGAGCTGCCAACAGTATAAATCCTGGTCAAACTGCATGGATGCGCAGACTTGCATTCTTGCATAAAACTGCACATGCAGATGTAAATTAACAGGAAAAAAACATGCATTAATGATTAATGGATACAATTATGGAAGTAGATGCCATTGTAAAATCACCTTAACATGGCTTATTGGTACTGATTTATATTCAAAATGAAAAAGGTCTGAAATACTGCTATGAAATTTGGTTTAAAAGTGAGAAAAGGTGTTACATTTCTGGCCCATATTCCGATAAAAATGTAAATCTTGAGCAACTTCAGAAGATGGTTATGTTGGCGTAACTGTTCTAACAAAGTTTTGTACATATCTGTTGACAGGCTCTTATTTTATTTAAAAAAATGTAATTAAATGGGGCCTGAGAAACTGCAAGGAAACCAGTGATATCATATCTGATGTGTACTATGACAAGAGAGAAACTTATTTTTTAGCAAAGTTTGTTTTTACTGGTCCATTTTTAGATTTGTAAAAACCATTCTAAACCAGAGTAAACCTCTCAACTTCATCATCACCAAACTTGGTGTCTTACCAGCACTTAAGCTAGTCTTCTCTCATATCTTTTGCACAAACTACACTGCTTCAACCTTTTAATCTTGGATATAATTTTAAAGGCCTTCATGATTTTTTTTCCTCTTTTATTTTAGTCATATTTTGAGAGAAAACAAGCTAATAAGAATGACTCATACATTGTATTAATTAACATAAAAGAATCAGTTACGTATATTATTACACATTAATATAGGATATGGAGTTGTCCTGCAGCTTCTCAAGGAGGTTATAGATGAAGATACACTGACTGAGGAGGAGGAGGATGATGTGTTTGTGTCGAGTGACGAGGAGACGATCTCTCCCGTCATGTATAAAGAACGGTTACGAAGTGTGTCCGGCATAAATGGCTTCCTCTCAAATAGAACATCATCAGGTAATTGCCATAAGCTTAGTTTATTCTCATGTTCAAACCAATCCAACTGGCATGACATAGAATCATGAACTGTCAGTAACTGTTTTAGGGATTATGTTAATGATGAAATACGAAAAATGTGCTGAAAGTTATGGTGTAGTCTCACAGACAGTACAAGTGTGAATGCCTGCCTGGTCCTTAAATTATTGATGCTGCATAGACATTATAGTTACAAAGAGGGGAAAAAACTTTAAAATGTAAATCATTTTATTAAAGGTCAACACCACCACATAGGTCCAAAACCTAAAAACATAAATTTTTAATTTCTTACAAAGATCAGCTGGGGTATTTAAACAGAAAGATATGACAAAGATAATTCAGAAATATAGTCAGAAATAATTTGAAAATACATTTTGTGTGTGTTATTCTTATCAAAATTGGGGTTAAAAGTGCACAGTAAAGCAATGGTTCTTTTTCACCATTAGAATAATTGTTCTGGAACAACAGAGTGAGTGAATGATCTGAAATTTGGCACACAAGTTATTGGTATACACCTACATCAAATGGAATATTAATCTTGGAATTTTATCTCCAGTCCCGTCATGTCAAAAAACCTCAGTGGAGTCCCTACTTACTAGCTCCTTTGATAATGAAATGTGTATATGTCATTTACATATAAACACATATCTTGAAGCCTTTTTTACACATTTAAAAGTATCTATAAATCCTTAAAATTGGCTGCTTAACAAAAATATAACGTTTGACTGTAATTTTCAGATGTTTTTTCTTTGATTTCTGATAGTTTTGTAATAAAGTTTGTTCACAAAAGATAATTTCCAACACTAAACATAGTGAGTTTGTCTTAATGATTTTGCCTCTCCTTATTACCAGGAAAAAGTTACGGAATCTAATGACAGTACATTTGTATTTTGATAAAATATGTGGCATATTGAAAGAATTTTGATTAAACTCTTTACATTGCAAGTATGAAGTTCATTCATACCCATTAATGGAATTTACATTTTCATGAAACCAGCTTTATATGCTTTAATCTGTAAGAACAACTAAAGGTTTAATACCTTTCAAATATAACACTTAATTCCTAAAAATAACATTTTTTGAACAAGTTGTCAAATATAATGCATTACAAGTTTTAATACCAGACCAGTTCAAGTAAGACATAATTAATCTCTAATTAATCTCTAATTAATCTTTAATTAATCCTATTTATCTGTTGACTTTTATAGACATTACTTCATTAATCTCATTATAAAGGATTAATGATTAATATTAATCATACTTCAATAATGTCCTGTTACTATTAATCAAGCAAACCCTGTGGTTTTACCCGTATTTAGACAGTTAAACTGTCCGCATACTTCTTCTGTTACTGTTTTACATCATAATGGTCTTTCTGCATTAACCTTTTCACATGCTAAACATGCCAAATTCATTAATTGGACTTGTCCACCATCCATTTTTGGAACTGTCCAATATCAGTTTTGGGTTTATCAGGATGAAAATTTACAGCTGGTGTCAGCCTTGGCTGCATGGATGTGCAGGCTGTCATGGCCAAAGGCTTACCACTTCTGTACTAATAACAACATTACAATATACATGTATCTGCTAAGGAAAATTTTTATGAATGACAGAAAATACCAGGTATAATAGATGAATGTTTATTTACAACTTTATGCATATATTATCATTTATATAAAATTTATACTTAATGGAAGGAAATAAACAAACTAAAGACAAAATTATTTAAATTCCAACACCAGAATCAAACAAAATTATATTATAGATAGAATTAACATAAAAAATATGATATTCAGAAGGGAGTAATAGACACACTGGCCATAGCTTTCGCAGAAGCGGTGGGTCTACCGCAGCGACGGTGGAGTATTCGTCGCAGAAGCGGTGGATAAAATATGGCCGTTTGTTGTTTTCGGTAAGTATATGACTGAATTTTGTTTTATGTTTTAATGTTTTACTGGAAACACTCAGTGAGACTGGAGCCCACATATGTACTCTTTCAACCTATTACAAGGACACGGTGCAATTCATTGCCGTTTATGCAAATACTTCTGTACAGTTTGATGAGGGGACGCCACTTTTGCCTAATTTTGGTTAAAACACATACAAATGTGTGCAAAACGACCCCATAATGCATCGGCATCACATCCAATCAATGATACTTTCACAAGTTAACCATAATTTGGAAAATTTGGAAATTATTATTGCCTGTTTATAAAATAAATGACAAAAAATGTTTTCGTCGCAGACGGCGGTGGATTCGATTGCAACGCAGTGCGGTGGGCCCGATACCATTTTTGTATATTTTAAGAATTTAACTTGACGTAAGGCATTTTTCAATTGAGTGCAGCCCTTTTCTTACTTTGACATCTGAGAAACGTGCTTATTTGATGTTTAAAACGATATTAATTATTATATATACGTTCGTACAAGTATATGTCCGAGGTCCGCTTTCATTTTCCTGCCAATGAAAATTACTTCAGCCATAATTATCATTGAATAATCTACGTTCAACCTTGGACTTAAAAAGTCCGTAAGTTCATTTTTGTCATACAGACATATAAAAGATACTCGTAAAGATAAACAGAACATGCTTCTTGAATACGAAAAACAACCTCAGTTTTAATGTCACTGTGTTATATTACCATATAGTGAGAACACTAATATAAATAAATTTTATGTTAACAGCGTAAGAGTTATTTCAGGAAAAGTTTTTTCTCTATTACTTTTTAGTAAAGACCTACGCGTTTTTTCTTCTTTTTCTTAAATTGGGACATATATAAAAAAATGGTTTCAGATATGGTATATGTTTAAAGAATTTTAAAGTATGAAATGCAATAAAAAAAAGGTAATAGAAGTATTTTATGGAATTAAGTCTTTCTTTAAAAATGTACACAAATATAGTAAAGAACTTAATAAGCGGGAGAAAAAAGATTTTTCAGAATTACATTTAAGTTATATGACCTTGAAATAACCACAATTAAGGAAAAAATCAAATTCATGTACAGGAAATGAGATCGGTGACCCCTAAGTTTTTTTCCGCTCTAAATGTTTATGTTATCATATTCTAGCATCATGCTTAATTTAAAGAATATGATTATATTGAACCTCCTTAATTTTGTGTGTATGTGTTTATAATACTGCACATTTGTTACGTCACTTTTCATTGGATAATCGTGACGTTTATATACATACAATGTACTTTTTAAATACATGGCTGCCGTCGATTTATGAAATTATCTCATTTTTCTCTAACAAAAATGCCATGAATATGTGTTAACTTTATGTTTTTATAACTCATATGCCGTAATGCAAAAATATATGCATATATATGTATATACCTGCCATGCCGCTTTTAATAAGTCAGAAATCTGCATTGGTTATACGGTATAACACGTGATCACGTGTAACATGTAAATTTCTGACACATGTGATATTTTGGCTGGATTCGGAATTCCCTGCACATCGCTATATTTCCTTTCGGTGGTGCATCAAAGTCAAATATTATAGTAAGTAAGTAAGTAAGTAAGTAAGTAACGACTTTATTTAATGAGGCAACACAGTTGGGCAAGCCCAGTCTTCCCTGTGAGCCTCAACAATGTACAAAACAATTTATAAAATAAAATACATCAATAAGAGAATAAATAACTACATAAGTTGATTTCATTATTATACATTCAACATTGAAATATGTGAGATCAACCTTAAACAACAAAAGACGTGTGTTCACTCATTAAATGATAATATACTGGTATACAAATGTTATCAAAAGTGAAAATTAACATATAATATTATGCCTCTTAGTTTCCGCCGTTTCCTCTACGGTCCGGGTTGTCAAATGCATGAACCCTAATATGAACTTGGAAATACAAATATGATAAAGGGCATTATATATATTATATGTTCTTACTTTCCTGCGCTTTTCAACTGGAATGGTGCATTCACAATCAAATATACTTGATACTTAGTAATAACCCGCAATAAATTGTTGAACGTGGATTATTCTATGATAATTATGGCTGAAGTAATTTTCAATGGAAGGAAAATGAAAGCGGACCTCGGACATATATTTGTACGAGAATATATATATAATAAAATATCGTTTTAAACATCAAATAAACACGTTTCTCAGATGTCAAAGTAAGAAAATGGCTGCACTCAATTAAAAAGTGCCTTACGTCAAGTTAAATTCTTTAAAATATACAAAAATGGTATCGGGTCCACCGCACTGCGTTGCAATCGAATCCACCGCCGTCTGCGACGAAAACATTTTTTGTCATTTATTTTATAAACAGGCAATAATAATTTCCCAATTTTTCAAATCATGGTTAATTTGTGAAAGTATCATTGATCGAATGTGATGCCGATGCATGATGGGGTCGTTTTGCACACATTTGTATGTGTTTTAACCAAAATTAGGCAAAAGTGGCGTCCCCTCATCAAACTGTACAGAAGTGTTTGCGTAAACGGCAATGAATTGCACCGTGTCCGTGTAATAGGTTGAAAGAGTACATATGTGGGCTCCAGTCTCACTGAGTGTTTCCAGTAAAACATTAATACATAAAACAAAATTCTGTCATATACTTACCGACAACAGCAAACGGCCATATTTTATCCACCGCTTCTGCGACGAATACTCCACCGTCGCTGCAGTAGACCCACCGCTTCTGCGAAAGCTATGGCCAGTGTGATAGAATACCAATTGCTGTATATGATATTCAGAAGGGAGTAATAGTATACCAATTGCTGTATGAGTGAACCTTATTAAAACAACCAACTCCCTTGACAGACTTCCTGAATATACCTCTACTGAGAGACCACACTGCCCCAGGTTTTTATCTCACACCCTAGACTGTAACAATATATGAGCCGCACCATGACAAAACCAACATAATGCTTTTGCGACCAGCATGGATCCAGACCAGCCTGTTCATCCGCGCAGATGGATCAGGATCGATACTGTTCACTTACCAACTCTATTACAA